GGCTCGTAGGAACTCATATTTGTCGCAGCCCTTTTGTATTTACCCATTTCGTACAGGTAGACTGTTGTGCACTATTTGATTTTTGCAGGTGGATTGTAGTGCACTAACGAATCTCCTGTTATGGCTCGTAGGAGCTTGTGCTTGTTGAAGGTATTCTTTATTTGATCGAGGGTAGCACTCTGAGGGCATGATGGGCCCCTTACGGCAGTTCGTAAGTATTTGCATTTGCTGCATGTTGTTCCTCATTTACTTGCAATAGACTGACATATTTGTTGATTATTGAACAGTAGTTGATTGCGGGAGTGTTGTAACACTCATAACTCACCGTTAATTGACACTTATAAGCATGTCGATATGTATATAACAAGTCTTTTATTGTTGTTAATAGGTATTTGCATTCGTCACCTTTACACATGTGATAGATCATCTACTATCGCTTGCAGGTATTTCTTTTGTTTTACTTTAACATGCAAGCAAGTGGCCATATGCATGGGGAGTCTTCTATCATTGTCTGCAAGCAATGTATGTGTTCTTTGCAACAAACCAATATCGCTTGCAAATTAATATCATAAGGATAATATGATGTTTATCGCATGCTTGACATGAATATTGTGCATCAACTATCGCTTTCCATAAGTGGTTCATAAAGTGCGCCAAGGATTTTATAGGATTGCGCATAGTCAAATGATGCTGATCACTTGCAAATTGTATTTGCTTAAAGTCTGTTCAACATGTCTTATTCATCAATTCATTATTCTCACTGTGCATTGGTTTCCTTTATTGATGTAATTTCTAGATGTTGAATCATTGCACTAGTTGTGCGTCTTTCTTGGAAATGATTTGTAGCTTGTATAATGAACTTGCATCATTTATACTTATTTCCATTTGACCGCATATCTTTTTCAATTTTCATTACTTGGGAATTTTCATTTTCTTGTATGTTGAATTGTTGTTGATGATGGAGACGCCACTACATTCATCCATATATCTTTTAGGCCTCATTCATGAATATCCCCCATTGTGACTATCCTTACTTATTAAGTTCATATTACTTACTACTAGTGAGTGAGATGCAAGGATCTCCTAAAGTAGCTCGTAGGCATTGATATTTATCGACATTCTCCTGAATCTCATTTATAAGCAGTATGTTAGACTTATGACAGGTCTTCCTATAATTGTTCATAGGGATTTGCATTTGCTGTAGTCATTTGATATTTTGCTTGTGGTCAATACATTGGGTGTACAACGGGTCTTCTTTAGTAGACCGTAAATGCTCACATTCATTGTACTCATATAAAATTTTGTACGTAGATGACATTTTGCATACATAACGGGTCTCCTACAATCCCGTAGACATTTGCATTTATTGCTTGTTTTGCCTTATATGTTTGAGTTCATCACATGTCACCTACCAAATTCTTCTGCTCGTAGGCGACACACTTTTCAATGATTTGACATAATGTGCATGCTTTAATTAGGGGTCGTACAACCAGTGACACATTACAATGTGCTATTTGTTCCTTTTTTGAAGATATATGTTTACTGGATGTACGAGCCGCCTAACTTTAATAGCTGGCGTGCACGCTATTTAGAACACCCGTGAATTGCAATGTGACGGACGACTCTCATTTTATTATGAAGCATTTGATCAGAATAATTACTGGGGATGTGTGGGGATTCCTACGTGTTTATAATTAACATAAACGCATTTTGTAGGAAAGATACATTTTTTTACTTTTACTTTTACCCCCCTCCCTTTTTAAGATAACTACCAATCGTATTCAGGTGTATTTAAGCTCGTATTTCACATGCTGGTGAATACTCGAGGCATCCAAAGCTAGAGCTTCAAAATGACATCTTAGGATTCTAAGCCGATGGGGTCCGCAGGTGTACCTTCTTTGTCTTTTAGCAAGGGGATCCTAAGTTGGCGAGCCCGGCGAATAATTTGAATTCAATGTAATAAATAGGAGGGGAGGCTTAGCTCATTTCTTCACATTCCATTTATGCAAAGGATTTTGGCGGGGGACTTAGGTGTGTGCAAGTCAGGAGTTAGGAGAAAGAGGCTTGATTTCTACCTATTCGTGAACAACTAATTTTCCTAAATGTTCATTGTATGTTGCATTTTGCTATGATTTGAAATTTTCTTTTATATTAGTTTTCCAGTGTCGGGTACCTAGGGTGTCGTGTATTTTATTTTTTGGTTAACTTAGAAACCTAAGGTGACTTTTAATCTTTTTGAAATTTTCTAAGTCATGGGTTCTATTGAAAATTTTGACAGCACCTCGGCGTCGTCCCCGCATAGGGGGCTGCATCGGGGAGTGTAAAGCCTTCCCGTCTACCAAGAAAGGCAGTCATAGTAGTTGTCAAATGACATCGCGACCGCAGTCTCGTTTCCCGCTCGCTAACAGCGGTCACGGAGTCTTCAAGTACCTGTTTAAAACACATTTCCCTGCTTGTTAAGAAAAGCAATAACGGATACTTAACTTTCATTTCATACATAATAAATTTTCCCGCTCGCTAATAAAAGCGATCATGGGTACTTATGTTTCATGCATACGAATTTCCACACTCGCTAACAAAAGCGGTCACGAGTATTTATATTTCCTCGCTCACTAACAAAAGCGGTTACGAGTATTTATTTCATGCATTGAAATTTAAAATGCTAATGTCGAATTTATACCTTGGGTGTACGACAATCGAGGCAACGACGGCGAATGGCGGCTACGAAGGGAAACTTGCGATGCACAATATAATATTTTTTGTTTTTTATGCCATTTAATTAATCATATATGTTTTTTTTAATTTAAAGCAAAGACTAGAGAGAGAAAAAGAGATAGTGAGCTCTCTTTCTAGAGAGAGAAAGAGAGGGAAAGGAGTTTTTGGTGGAGGAGGCTTAGGGTGTGTAGGAGAGTGGCGGAGTGAAGTTAGAGAGAGAAAATTCCTCTCTCTCCAACTTTAGAGAGAGAAAGAGAGAAGGGAATTTTTTTCTCTCACTAGGAGGAGAATTATGTGGAAACAATGGTGAAGGGAGATGCTTGGGATGGAGAGGGAGTCATGTATGAAGGAATTTCTCTCTCATTCTAGAGAGATAAAATTTTCTCTCTCTAGGTTAGAGAGAGAAAATGTAGGATGATGGGGATTTTTGGTTGGAAGTGTGTAGGAGTGTTTTTTATGAAGGAAGGTTAGTGATATGAGGGATGGATGTGGAGGAATAAAAAAAATTAGGGTTAGGGTTAAGGTATGTTTGAAGAAAGAAAGGTTGGAGAAAGAAGAAAATGATGAAGGATAGGAAGGAGAACAAAGGAGAGGAGGAAAATGGAAGAAAATGAGGGAGGAAATGGAAGGAGGAAGAATGAAAAAGAAAAATGAAGAATAAGATGAGAGAAGGAAGAAGAAGAATGGAGGAAGAAGGAGAAGCAGAAGGAGAAGGAGAAGAAATTTTTCCTTGCTTGGAGGGAGGAGGGAGGCCGGCAGCTTGGCGTGAGAAGAATTGCAAGAGAGGGAGAGGGAGAGGGAGTTCGGATGGGTGGCGGCTCCTTGTCGTGATTTGGCATGAAAAATGAGAATGGGGTTCGGTTGCGGAGAATATGAGGGAATGAGGATTAAGTGAGGGGTATTTTAGGTATTTTTTATTTAAAAAAAATATTTAAGAAAAAAATCTTTCTCTAATTTTTTTAATTATATTGCATAAAATATAAAAAAAAAATTAATCATGCATCGTGTTGGTCTCCATGTTGTCGCTCGTACACGTCGTTGCCTCGATTTGCTCGCGAAATTTAAATTTTTCTCCGATCAACGAACCCCATCAATATGGGTGTCGATCTTAGCTATTTCCTATGCTTCGGACGCATCGGCGCTATTCGTTTCCCGAACGGAGGCTATTCGGCGATTTTGGGTTTTTGATCGACACACGTCGGGTGAGTTTTTGCGCGATTTCAAGCTCTTTCACTTTTCAAATCCACATTGCGCAGTCGACTCGACCCCGACACTAGTATTAGGATCAACAATGTTGCAGCCCTCAATCACTACAGTCCTGAACTTTTACTTGTTTCATGGAACTGCTTGACATTATTCTCCAAAGTTCAGGTTAGAAATGACCAGTGCCCAAACCCAAGCTCAATTTGCACTCTAACTAGAATTCGTTATGGTGCATTGAAAAAAAGAACTACAAAACTTTCTTTTCATCTGGCGTTCTTGATTTATTTCTTTCTAATTCAAAGAATCCAGGTATTTATATTCTCTTTCCTTGTTCTAACATTCATTTAATTTATCATCATGTATTTTTCTCTATCTGATAGTGTTTACTGGAATTATTATGCTATTTGTTTTGGCCACTTCCTCGTGATGAATGAGAATAAACAATATTATCGTCTATGAAAGTAAATAGATTATTATCGCTGGGCTATTTCCATTTTTTGGGTGCAGATTTCTCGTTTTTTTATTTGCATTCTATCAATTGATAAATGTTTAAAAAGGGTTGGCAGCCTGTTTGTGGTAGATGCAGTGAATGAAATACTTCTTTTCCAACTCAGTGTATCATTGTTCTGAAGTAGTGCTAATTTATCTAATTTATTATCTCCTATAATGCTCATCTGTATTTTGGCGCTTTCTGACCTTGGAGATTGCAAGTATCACTGTCCTGGGATTTGAAAATGACAGATGCGTTTGAATATAAACTACTAGTTTTCTATTGATCTGATTTTATACGCTTTGATTGCTTAAATTCCCACATTGCTATTTTATTTTCTAGTATATTTTTATTCCATGCTTATAATTTAAATCATCTTCTTCATCAGTTCATCTGAATTATTTTCTCTTTGTTCAAATCTCCTGAAGCAATAGTGATAGTATTTCTTTGTTCAAAGCTTCTTCATCAGGTTATAATTCTCTTATTAGCCACACTATTTCAATTGGTTTTGCCGATCCCATATAGTTTAGATAAGACTAATGATGGCTAGTTATTACGATGGTGATTATGATTTGTTCTATTGAACTTCTAGGCACATGCTGCTTCAGTAATCCTCAATTTCACTGAAAACTGCGCACCAGGTATCTTGACTCATTATTTGGATGGCTTTGTTAGCAAACTGTTGGTATTGCTTCAGGTACAGCTTCTATAAAATTTCAGTTTTTTTTCTTTCTGTGATTTCTCTTATGGTTTAATCTTTTTAATCGCGTACATGATATTAGTTTGAATGCATAAAAATTTCAAACAGAATAAGAAACCGATCGTGCAAGGAGCAGCTTTGATTGCTTTAGCATCACTTGCGGATTCTTCACGGGTGCAGACTTATTATTATGCAATAGTCTATTTGGTACATAATCTTTTTCATGCGTTAGGACTCAACCTTATCTCATGCAGGAGCAATTCCAAAATTACTATGATGCTGTAATGCCTTGTTTGAAAACTATTTTACTAAATGCAACGGTTAAGTCAAATCGCATGCTACTTGCCAAGTCCATGGAATGCATCAGTTTGGTTGGCATGGTTGTGGGCAAGGATAAGTTCAGGGATGATGCTAAACAAGTAAGAATCAAGCACAAATACGTTTGCTTCTTTAAATCCTGGATTATTTAGACGAATCTAATGCTTTAGATTAACCATTTTTTATTCCCTTACGAAAGATTTGGAAAGCCCATATTTGTATCTACAATTGATGTCGTAATTAGCATATTTTCCAGACTGGGACTAGTTAGATCCTTTAGTTTTGTTGGTTCTATGTGTTTTCTTTCGTTATTTGCTTTTACCTTCTCTTAAAATTCTCTCTGGCTAAATTGTAACATTTTTTACAGCAAACTAATTGTGCTTTTTTGTCATTCAAAGACATAAAAATCTTACCTCTTCTTTGTCTTAGGTGATGGAAGTGCTGATGTCATTACAAGGATCTCAAATAGAGATTGATGATCCGATAGCTAGCTATATGTTGCAAGTATGCTAGTGCTTCAAAGTTGTAAACCGTTGCATGGTTTCTATTTTTGCCTTCTAAAAATACTTTGTAAAACATGTTATAGGCTTGGACACGACTCTGCCAGTGCTTAGGACAAGATTTTCTACCATATATGAATTTTGTCATGCCCCCTTTACTTCAGTCTGCTCAACTCGAACCAGATGTGACCATAACATCTGCAGATTCTGAATACATGGATAATTCGAATGAGGACAGGTTTCTGTTAAATAGCGAATATTCATACTATAATGCTTATAAACTTAAGACAGCATGATATCATGTCAATGCCATGTGTTTTAGTTTTAACTTTTGATATTCCTATAACTTATGACTTTTGATAGAAAGAATTCCAGTACTGGTCTCTGGCAGTTTACTATGACTAATTCTATTATTAGGTTACTGAAGAATTACTCTTTATCACATAAATATGTATGCTTGTGTGTGTATCTATAAACACTAAAATTTGCATGTCAGGCTGAATGAATTTAACTTTGCATAAAAAGATCTCATGTAAGCCTGATCTGAAACTTCGGTAAATTTTGGTATTATACTCTCTTTTTCCATCTTTTGGCCTTTTCTTTTAACCTGTGTTCACAAAGATGGGTTCTCTCAAATTTTTCCCAGCCTTAGTCCATGATGTCTTTTATTGTTTTCTAACCTTTTCCATTTTTTTAGGATTGTTCTTTTTTTTTTTCTTATATAATTTGCTTCATTAATATTTATTGGTTTAGAGAAAGCATATGATGAAGTTCCAAGAAAAGTGCTATGGAGAGTTCTAGAAAAGAAAGGAGTTAATAATGCTTATATTCAAGTCATTAAGGTTATGTATGCAGAAGCTATTACTTGTGTTTGACAAGGTGGTTCGACCAAGTATTTTCCTATTTCAGTTGGATTACATCAAGGATCAGCCTTAAGCCCATATCTTTTTGTTTGAGTCATGAATGTTCTTACTAGACATTTGCAAGGGGTTGTACCATAGTGTATGCTTTTTGCTAATAATATTCTTCTTGCTGATAAGACTAGAGAGGGAGTTGAACGTAAACTTGAATTATGAAGGTCTACTTAGAGTCTAAAGGTTTTTGTTTGACTAGATCTAAAATTGAATATATGGAGTGTAATTTTAGTTGTAATAGATCAAGTGGGGGGATTGTGACTTTGGGCAATCAAGTCATTAATAAGAGTACATATTTTAGACATCTTGGGTCTATTGTTCAGAATGATGGCGTAATAGATGGAGATATTATTAGTAGAATTCAAATTAGATGGTTGAAGTGGAGGAATGCATCAGGCTTGTTGTGTGATAGAAAAGTCCCTCTCAAATTTAAGGAAAGTTTCTATAAGATGGTGGTGAGACTTGCAATGCTTTATGTTGCAAAATGTTGGCCATTAAAAGAGAAGTATAATATTAAGGTTAAGTGTTGCAGAGATGAGGATGCTCAGGTGGATTAGTGGTTTTACTCTTAGAGACAGAATACGAAATGAGCATATACGTGAAAAGGTTGGAGCAACTCCAATGAAAGATAAGATTAAAGAGAGTCACCTTAGATGGTTTGGTCACATAAAACGAAGGCCTTTCGATGACCTGATTAGGAGAGTATATGTATTAGATTTGGCTTATGTTAAGAAATATAGAGGTAGAACTAAAAAGACTTGGTTAGAATATATTAGAAATGACCTTTCTTTATTAGATTTAAATAAGAATTTGATTCTTAATAGCACACAAAGGAGAAAAAGATTCATGTAGCAGACCCCACATAGTAGGATAAATGCTTGATGTTTTTTTTGTTGTTGTTGTATATAATTTGCTTCATTAGTCATGATTCTTGCATTGAAGTTGTGCTTTTAATGCAGAGTTGAGATTGCCAATTTCGGGGATAAAAGGATTCGCATTAGGACTCGTGTATTAGAGGAGAAAGCCACAGCTTGTAGCATGCTTTGTTGTTATGCCGATGAGCTCAAGGAGAATTTCTACCCATGGATTGATCAGGTTGGCGATCACATTTTGATCATTATACTTTAGTCGTTTTGTTTATTTCAATTGGAACCATTTGCTTTCTTAACTTTAGTGACATCTTGTTGTTTTAGGTTGCTCCTACTCTGGTTCCTTTACTGAAATTTTATTTCGATGAAGAGGTTAGAAGGGCAGCTGTTTCCGGTACTTCTACATGCTTTATTTTATTTTGTCTATTTTCAATTTGAAATTATTTTTGGACGTCATCAATGGTGGTGGTTCTTCTTGCTGTAGCAATGCCTGAACTACTGAGGTCAGCAAAGTTAGCAGTTGAGAAGGGACTAGCTCAGGGGCGTGATGAGTCTTATGTGAAGCAACTATTTGATTACATAGTCCCAGCCTTAGTTGAAGCTCTTCATAAGGTCAATCTATTTCTTTATATTCTTGTTCAATATCGTTTTTCTTTAATATCCAATTTTTTCCCTTCATGCAATCATTCTGTACTTTGGATGCCGGTGTTTTTCACAGGAACCTGAAATAGAAATTTGTTCAAGCATGTTGGATTCCTTAAATCAATGTATGCAGGTTTGTCTTTTAGCCTCAAAGAGCCATTCCTCCTTATTTTTTACAATTTAAGTTACTAATTCAGTTGGACAATGTGCAAGGGTATTTTGATAAACATACCTTGTATTTCAAGGCTGGATTACATGATTTCATAATTTATGCTTAGGGATTTTTACATACATACCACCTAAAACTATTAAAAATACATATTTAACTCATAAACTTCTATATTTACTAATATACCACCTAAAATCCCCATTTCCTTCCATTCTACCACTCCATTGAAGCGATGAGATACTTGTATTCAATGTGAAAGGATGTCATTGACGGGGAAGACAGTCGCTGATAGTGATTTTTGACGGAAGATTTAAATGGAATGTTAGAATTGATTAAAATTCTATTTTCACAGAACCAATGGAAGCTGCTCCAATCCAGTAGGATGAGATCTTGTTTTGCTTCACAAATAATCAATTAAACATAGAACCTTGGTATTATGGCAGAAAGGAGGTCTTGGCTCTCAATGTTGGCGAAGTCTTGAGCTCCCCAATGATTCATCGTAAATCATCTCACCTCAAACTTGGGAATCCACCCTATTTTCAGGCTGTAACTAATTTCTCAAAAAACCAAAAACTCACTCCTTCCAAGTAAGCAAGGGGTATTTATAGAAACCAACAAGACAAAATAAACAAATAATTACTAAATTATCCCTAAAAGCGAAAAAGTTTAAAAAGAAAGAAATAAAATAAAACAGAATAAGGAGGAGAGAATGCACAAACTAATTAAGAAAGTTGATAGTTAAATAACTGTCACTAAATAGCAAAAGACTTAAGAAAATTCAATTATACTTTATGAGGCTTAATCATGATGAATTTAATACTTTTAATATTTATAAATAAGAATAACATTTAAAGTAACAAAATATAAGAAAAAAACTAAATGAATTCCACAAATTCAAAGTCCACTATCATATGATTTATATTCTAACTCGAAAGTCTAATTGGCATAATCCTATAAAATCAAACAAGATGACCGTCAAAATGAAACTAGAAGAGAGGTGAGTTGGAGTTGGGCTCCAGTGAAGATGAGCAACTAGTTGGCGGGGTAAACGAAGAGCAACTAGTTGGCGGGGTAAACGAAGAGCAACAGAGGAGGCTTTGGCAAAGTGAGCAGAGATGGACAAGATACGAGGCAGATTGAGACAAGTTGGGTTAGGATTTTGATGTTTCTAAAGGCTTGTAGGAGAGGAAACAATTTGATAGTTCTGAAGATATTAAAATTTAAATAATATTTTTCATTCATATTTTTATCTAATTAAATATAAAGAGATTTCTAATAGGTTAAAATTTTGATATTTGATTATTTAGTTTAATTAAAATTAATTTCATTAGTATTATAGGAATTTTCCACACCAATATGGCATAAAAGGTTGCTTCCTAGCATCTGGTGCAAATGCCTTCCAAATCGCTCTCCTGACTGCCCTAGGGAAATTTACCCTGATCCATCCCTAAGAGAACTGTTGCCAGTTCCAAAAATGCCTTTTAAAACCTTGCCTTGGATTATAATTTGATTGCTTAAAGCTACAATTTTTAGATTTTGTTTTTCATAGCAATAGAGATTGATACTTCTGCGGTTCTGCCTTTTCTTTTTCTTAGCTCTCTGGACATCTTCTTGATAAGGGCCAGATCAGGTCCATTGTGGATGAGATCAAGCATTTGATCACAGCAAGTACAATTAGGAAAAGAGAAAGAGCAGAACGAATGAAGGCTGAAGATTTTGATGCTGAAGAAGGGGAATTTCTCAAAGAAGAAAATGAGCAGGAAGAAGAAGTATTCGATCAGGTCAGTGTTGAAACTTAAAGGTCACAGATTTTATATATGATCATGTTGATATAACTTTTTACTTATGCTATAATATGCAAGCAGTTTATGTAAATATATTTTTTCATCTTGTCTTTACTTCAGGTTAGTGATTGTTTGGGCACAATGATCAAAACTTTCAAGACTTATTTTGTACCATTTCTTGATGAGCTTTCTGTCTACCTAAAACCTATGTGGGTAAGTCTTATTCTAGATACATAATTATGCTTTGTCAAATTTTGATGTTGATTGCTTCATCACGCTGGATTATTTTAACATGTTTTATTACAATTCAGGACATTTAAAGTATTTCAATCTTGAACAGCATTGCGTAGCGTTTTTAGGCTTCTCTATTTATAATTTAAATGTTAACTATTCTGAATCCATGACTAGTTGGAAAGTCAATGCAGCTAATTTACCATTTGGTCATTCAAGTTAGATTAATTCCTTTCTTTTGTCATGCTAGTACTACAGAATTTTGCGTTTTTCCACACTTTCCAGTTGGTTATTATCTTTTATATTTAAAGAAAATGCCAAAAGTTTTGTCAAATTTTGATGTTGATTGCTTCATCACCCTGGTTTATTTTAGCATGATTTATCACAAACTAGGACATTTAAAGTATTTCAATCTTGAACAGCATTGCATAGTGTCTTTAGGCTGCATCTATTTCTAATTTAAATGTTAACTATTTTGAATCCATGACTAGTTGGAAAATCAATGCAGGTAATTTTCCATTTGGTCTTTCAAGTTTGATAAATTCCTTTTTTTTGTCACGCAACTACTCCAGAATTTTACGTTTTCGCACGCTTTCCATTTGGTTATCATCTTTAATATTTAAAGAAAATGCCAAAAACAGATGTTTTTCCCAAGGCCTCAAACAGTGCTTAGTTTGTCACACATCTCATTTTTGTTTGGTTTCATCCAGAGAAAATTCTAACCTCCCTAGGATATAAATTTTTTATTTTGTTATTAATTCTTTATTGAAAGATATAATTTCAAAAATATTTAATAGAAAAATAATGAATAAAAATTTAAATTTAATTAAGAAATAATTAAATTAAAGTGAAATTATTATATATTTATTTAAGATTATTTTAAAATTTATTTTACATTATTTTTAATGTAAAAAATATTTTATTTACTTCTTTGTTGAAATATACCAATTTAGGTTTTATTTTTTGAATCCTTAAATCATTTAGCATTTTCTACAAAATACTAAGTGTTTTTAGCTTTTCTAAGAAAAGCTGATTTCGTTTTGCATTTTTTATATGTTTTATATTTTTTTTATAATGATGCTTCTACTGCTTGATTAATCATTAATTATGTTCTTTTAAAAATTTCACCTTTTTAGAAGGCAGATTAGGTTTTAGATAGGACATTATCAGATATTTTGCTCTCATTCTGCGAAGACTTTATAATCTGATTTCATATTTTTCATAGGTTTAAGCCCTTTTGACTACTTTTCTTTCCTGTTGATGAGGGAAAACTTTCAATCAAGGATGCTCATTAGAAACTAAATGCTTGACCTATAGTGGAAGCAATTTTGATATGAGGTTGGTAAATTTATCATTTTATATTTAAGCGGATGTAGAGAAATTATGAAAAATCCAATTAAGATCCCATCACTCCATCTTTAAGGCGCTTGGCGATAAAATCACTTGTTAGAGCACATATGTCATGTTTTGACTAGCAATAGATTGTTTGAGAATAAATTATAGTGATATACTTGAAAAGGCATTGATTTTTTGTGAACTTGGTTTATTCTCAAATTTATTAGCTTTAATAAATGGTTACAAAAGATGGACATATTTTTACCTCAAGGTTATGGGAGGCGGATTCACTTTTATGTTTTTACATTTTGTAATTGTTGAAGTTTTTATATTATGTATTAGATTAAAGTTTTAAGCATGTATCTTTTTTACTTTAGTCTGGATGTTCTTACTAGACATTTATAAGAGGATGTACCATGGTGTATACTTTTTATTGATCATATTCTTCTTGTTGGTTAGACTAAAGAGGGGGTTGAAGGAAAACTTGAATTATGGAGGTGAGTTTAAACGTTTTCATTTTAGTAGATCTAAAATCAAATACATGGAGTATAATTTTAGTAATAAAAGATTTTAGTAGGGGGATTGTGACTTTGGGCGATTAAGTCATTAATAAGAGTACACGTTTTAGATATATCTGGTCTATTGTTCAAAGTGATGATGAAATATATGGAGATATTATTAGTAGAATTCAAGTTGGATGGTTGAAGTGGAGGAATGCATTGGGCCTGTTGTGCGATAGAAAGGTACCCCTCAAACTTACGAGAAAATTTTATAAGATGGTGGTGAGACATGCAATGTTTTATGCACCGAACATTCGCCATTAAAAGAGAAGCATAAAATTAAGTTAATTGTTGTAGAGATGAGGATGCTCAAGTGGATGAGTGGCTTCTATCTTAGAGATAGAATGCATAACGAATATATACGTGTTATGGTGGCAGATAAGATAAAGAATCACCTTAGATGGTTTGGACACATAAATCATCAGCCTTCCAATGACCCGATTAGGAGTAGATGTATTGGGTTTGGCCTATGCTAAGAAAGATATAGGTAGACTTAAGATGTCTTGGCTAGAAAATATTAAAATGATATTTTTTATTAAAATTAAATGAGAAATTGACTCTTAACAAGACACAATGGAGAAAAATAATTCGCGTAGTTGACCCCACGTAGTCGACCCCGCGTAGTCGACCCGTGTAGTGGGATAAAGCTTGATGTTGTTGTGGTATTTGATTAAAGCTTGAAATATTTAATATTGAGGTTTAGGGACCATGTTGGAAGATAGGCCCCATTCAATGGATATATGCTTTCAACATGGCTATCATCTAAGTTTAAGTCTTATCAATCCTAGTCCTTGTCAAGAGGAGGATCAAACTTAAAATATTGGTTTTACGTTCTTGCTCTATAGGTAAGGTTCCTTGCTCGAGAAACATTATGTAAAAGTGAGCTTGAATTTGTACTTAAAAGAGAGTTTGCAAATTCCAAAAAAATTGTTTTTTTAAAAGGGGTTGCATGATTATTGGAGTAAGATGAAATTGAGTTCACTTATATTTAAGTCCACACAGCATTCTAAGATCTCAAATTTAAGAATTTAATGCATATAGTCAAGAACATATGCAGGTGATTTAATTTCGGCGACTTGATATGTCATGCACTCGTTTTGATGTATTTTAATATTTTTGTTGCATTCACACATTATACTTGCACTTTTTTGATGAACATACAAGGTACACTTATATATGCTTTTTCATACATTTCAGAAGTGTAATTGAACACTTTTTAATGTATTTTTTGATACGCTTGCATGATGCACTTATAAAATTTTTGGTGTATTTGTACAATGTATCATATGCTCTTTAATGCACTCGTGTGCTTGTTGATGCACCTATATAGCATACTTGCTTACTTTTCAGTACATTATCAAAATTTTAATGTCTTTATTTTTATCAAGTGTCTTGTCTTTATTTATACAAAATAAATTTAGATTATACTAGATAATTTCTTCCTTGTCAAATAATTACGTGGTACTTACAAAATTCCTAGGACATAATATACAAGTATTATTCTGGTTTATATATATATATATATATATATATATATATATATATATATGAGAATAAGCAAATAATAAACTCGGATCTAAAATGAGAGGGGTGAAATTGTTAATCCAAAAATTAGGGGGTTTGACAATAAAGTTTTTATCATATTTCAATTTAAAATTGCATAATATAAGGCGCATCTCAACGCAATATGTGCAAAAAACATCTCGAGGCACAAGCCTCAAAGATGTCTATATAAGGCGTACGGTTTAGGTTGGCTAAGGTGCACCTCGCCTCTATAGCGTGAGCCTTGAGACACACGCCTCAAACTATTTTTTTATTAAACAATGACATGAAAACCTATATCTAAGTTAACAGTGCACACGTACCAGAGAGTGAGAGGCATGAGCTATGCTGTGGGTATCCGAAAGGATGCTACAAGTGAGGGTTAGAATGCAAATGATACAATTGCTCCATCTCATAGGACAAAACATTCATAGGCCTTTACACTCTGCATAAGCAGGCCAATGAGAGAACATATAGAATCATACATACAATAATCCATAAAGAATAATGGTTTTCGCATATACATCTCGATGGATAGTGATATGTATAACTCGATAGTCATGGAATTTGTCTCTTTCAATACATCAGCTCGAATGAGGTTTATTTAATGTAGTTGTTGGTTTCCCACCGGCATAACCCCCCGTGGTTAATTACTTCTTAAGCCTTGACCTGAGAATACTCTCCATTATGGATATTATTTTATTCTCTTATTGGTTTGACGCATGTGGAATATTAAGGCTTTCCTAATCCAAATGAAGATATGTTCAATTGAGCTATTTAATATGCAATGATCATATAGTCGCTCGGCTGGCCAAAAGAGGAGAAATTTGGAGAGGAAGCATCACATACAAAGCTGCGTGAGAGAAAGATTGAAGTGATTATGGACCTCCGAAAGGACACTGCCGGCTGCAGAGTGCAGAGGATATACGACCGCACCACCCCGAGGGATAGAGAGGATCGCAGGCATCCGCGCTCCTTACAAACGGGCCAATCGAAGGGCATATTAGATCGCACATATGACTAACCATTGAGAATAGTGACTCTCACCAGCACACCTGATGGATAGTAATATACACGACCTGATCAAAACAACGAGTTTCCCCTACCCGATACATCAACTCGAGTGGGGTTTATTTGATGGTGGAGTTTCATTTTCCATGGGTGCAAGACCCCGTGGTTAATTACATCTCGAGTCTGGGGCCCAAGAAAACTCTCGATTAAGAATCCGATATTATTCTTCCTAGACAAGGGGGATTGGCACGAAAGGGGAGACTAAGAAATCCTACTCAAAAGGAAATAAATGGTCCAAGTGGCTTAGTCAGCATATACGGCTCATCTCAGTATCTGGAGGGACTAAAGCAGTTGAGGAGAAACAAAAGATCATACGCTCAAAACATACAAAGGGGAAGGATGGAGGTGGCGTCATTCATATGATGCAGATAGGCAGGATTTACAGTCCCTGATAGGGCTGCAAACGAACCGAGCCGAACCGAGTATGTGAGTGTTCATGTTTGTGTTCATTTAATATCAGCTTGTTCAAGTTTG